TCTTTCCCCGCCCATGCCTCCCGTCTGTGCTGCTAGCCCCCGCTGCGCACGGACTTCTCATCTCTCCTGACCCATTAGTGCAATTGCTCCCGTTACCCAAAACCGTTTGCTAAAAATTAAAACACCCAACCACTTCCCCCAACCACCTTGCTGTGAAAAATCGATAACCTCTTCGGCTAGATCAGCAAACCTATGCAGCTCCTAAGGTCTTTCAGCAGCCCATTGCAGCAACATGATTTTTCCCCTTCCAGCGTGCTAAACACCAGCACCAGGTCAGTCTTAGCTCCCCGTCTGCAATCTAGGCTGGGGTCAAACTCACTCAGGGCAGTTTGGGGTGGATTGGCTGATAAAAAAAAATGGTTTGCAAATGGCTTGCCAGTGGCTTTCTAAAAATATCCATCATTTCAAGGCAAGTTTAAGAAGCAGAACTTCCAGCTCCAAATGCTTCAGTGGGACCAGGGCTGTTACTCCAGCTCAGAAATCAGCCTGTGCAACCACAAGCGCTTTGACAGTCTGGACTCCTACGTTACTTGGGGTTTGTTACGTACATATATGGCAAATAAATAAAAATACAGCAGTCAGTCAATAACAGGATTTCTGCACTGCAAACTGGATTGCTCTCAAATGCAAACGGGCCCAGATTGTTAAAGACAATAAAAGCTTTGCAGATATTTTCAGGAAACTGTTCCCTGTTATTTGGAGGTACATCTGTGCTGCTGTTGCGAAGAGGTGGGAGGTTCTGAGTCACCCTGGTGAAAGTTATGGAGTCTGGATGTAACGTGGATTTTTAGCCTGAAGATTCAGCTGAAAACCTCAGTAGGGAAAAACTTCCATAGGCTCTGCAAAACTGAAACCAGCAAGAAGCACAAGCCAGACCGTGCGATAACGCTGTTCTAAAGAGCAAACAGCTGGAGAGAGACTTGAAGGCAATGGCTTGTGACTGTCCCAAAAGCAGAAGGTGGTAAAGCCAAAGAAGATTTTTTTTTTTTTTTAAATTAGAAAATTCCCATTACGTGAAAGCATTGCTCTTTGCAGAAACCTTGCAGGTTTGATGGACATGCTCTTGGGTCAGCTTGGAAGCAAGGAAGAACCTCAGCTCCAGCCTGGACTTCACCTCCAAGCTGGCTGCCAGGGCAGGGGAGCCAGGGCTCAGCACCAGCCTGGATGCAGCAGGATTGGGATGCGCTGCCCACGAGCCAGGTGACCCCCGTGAAGCTGCAGGATCCCCCGGTCTCAGCTTTGATCACATCTGGCTGGGGCCAAAGGATGAAGTTGCACCCTTTTTTTTTTTTTTGCAAAGAGAAGAAGCCCTGGAGTTGCAGCCAGCCTGATGCATTTGTTGTCTTAAATAACAACTGGAAGTTTGCAGGCTGCTGATGGAGCCAGAGCAAATGAGAAGAAAATTAAGGAGAATAGGAGGATAATGTATTCACCAAGGGAGGAGGGAATTCAGTTGGGGCAGAAGGCCAGCATAAGCTACAGGAACTATTTATAGCTGAGGTTTTATTGGGACTAAAGCACTGCTCAGGCCTCAAGGCAGTCTCCGGTAGCTGTGATTAATTCACAGGATCCTCAGTGAAAGGGCAGTTTCTCAATGGATTGAAGGAGGAAAGATGAGGGCTAGGTTTCTGTATCTGTAATCCCACCAGAGAACATCTGCTTCGAGGTGCTACGGGGGAAGTAACACTTTTAAGCTATTTGCAAACTCATTTTTTTTAATGAGCAAATGCTGTAACAGCTCAGGCTGTGAAACTCTGCTCCGAGACCGCTCTCCACCACTGACTGTGGGGAATCCAGCAGACACGCAGCCCCTCAACGAGACACTGCACCTCCAGGATCGGTTACATTACATGCCCTTCTTTCCAATTAATTTCTTTAAAATGGAGGGAAAAAAAAAAAGTCCCACCAGCCCCAGAGCTGGCATGCAGGCAATTTGCTCGGAGATGGTTAGTGATAAAAAAAATCACTGTATCTGTCCCAGGAATTTCTGAGGTTCCTTGGGGAGTAAAACAAAGCAGAAGAGCAACTGGAGATGGAGCCAGTAGGACTCTGCAGGGAAGACACTGGCAGTGCTGGTCCTCTACCAGGTCCCAAAATAACACGGGCCTTGCATGGGCACTGAGGATGCACTGGGTCCTGGTTAGCACAGCATCTGATGCCCCTACCAGTAAAACGATTGAGCTGGTTTTGGACCATGTGGAACAAGACTGGGATTAAGCACCCGGTCCAAGGAAGATGACTGAGACCCATCCCAGCAGCACCAGCCCAACCCAGCTCCTTCCAGAGGGATGCACGTGAGAGACGGCATCACCCCGCTCCCCTCCTGGTGCGAAGACCCCTCGCTGCCAGCTGAGCCTCAGTAAATGTGCTGGGGACATGGGCTGCAGGAGCCCCTCGTGCATCCCCAAAGACAGTTTTACTGCAGAAGAGGTCCCAGAAATGGGAAATAGCCTGACAGCACATCCATGAGATGAGCCTCAGCTCTAGCTGGTTCGGAGAGAAAAGTCCAGAGGGCACAAGGTCCCTCGGTGGCATAAAACTTCAGGTGCTGTCCCCATGCCCGCATCCTGGCCACATCTCCCTGCTGCTCTTCTCAGCCCCAGCTGCAACATCTGGCACTGCCTCCTTCCCTCAACACTGCCCTTACTGGTATTATCGCAGTGGACTGGAGCCCCAGGGAGGCAAATATCTAGGAAACAACGGAGTTTGGAGGTCACCGAGGAAAGAAAGAAAGAGGGGAAAAAAAGAAGGAAAAAAGAAAAAAGTGGATTTTGGTGGATTTTGGCAGCATGCTTGGTACATGTTGAGGAGAAGGGAAGAAACAAGTGAAGGATGAGGAATGAGCCATCCCAAATGCTTCGGAGCAGATGCCCAGTGGCTGACCCTCATCCCCCAGCCCCTTCCCAAGCCCTATCTGTCACCTTTTCCAAGCCAGGTGAGCACTGACACATCCCATACAACCTCCCCTTTGCCTTCCCATCCCTCGGGGGTACTACCTTCACCTGCCGGCCATCCAGGACTTGGCTTCCCCCAAGAGGAGATGCTGGAAGAGCTCAGCTGAGACAGGAGAGCGGGCAGCGGCACGTCTAGGGTGGAGCGGCCATCCCAGTGCTGAGGGCAAAGCCGTGCCCCACGTGCAGGTCAGGACCGATCAGGGATGAGGACCCCGGCCAAGCTCCTCTCTGGGCCCAGCAGGGTCTTTGCAGCATTAAAGAAAGGTCGTGGCAACCCCTCCGCTGCTCCTGCCAGGCATCCGACGGCGCGGACAGGAAGCCAGCGCTGGCGGAGAGCTGACACCGTCCCCACATGAATACTACATGAGGACCCGTGAACCTGAGATGCCGACACAGGCTGCGTGGTGGCACCGAGAGCCCCTCCTTTGCCAAAGCCTGGGATTAGCCTGGTTTCCTAAAGAACTGAGATGCTGGAGAGGAGGCTGCCACCTGCCTGCCTGCTCCCTTCCAAAACAGTGCGAGCTACTGGCCCATCGCAACCCAATTTGGCAGCAGGGGCAAGACTGGGCTCCTGCAAGTTTGGGGGAGTGGGACAGAACCCCTTGACTCTTCCCAAGTAGGGACAAACCTCCAAGCAAGCTTAAACCTGTATTAGACACCAGAGTATCCACCCAGCCTCCCACAGCACTCTCCCCTTGGATTTTCTGGTGTCTAATACGGGATTGAGCAGATGACTTATCTTCAGTTGATGGCAAAGCACATATCCTCCGTTTAGTTTGCCACTCCCAGAAGCGCTTGGCTTAGGGTTTCACCCGAGTGGCTCTCCAGGAGGGGAGCACGGAAGGAAAGACAGATTTTGAGACATGTGCAGGGAGGTGGAAGCAGTCTCTTTCCTGGCCAGCTTCTAGTTAAAGATATGGTTGCAGGTTACTGGTTAATTATTCATGGCTAAAAAGGACATCTTAATCCTTGCTTTTTACTGGGGACTTGGGAGCAGGGAACAGGGTTTCCATGGCTCATTTCTTTGCAGGAATTCCGCCTGTCAGGTGGGTGCTGCCTCCATCACCCCTCTGCTAACAAGGCTTCCAGTTTTCCCCACTGCCAGTCCCATGGGGTCATCCTATGCACACCACCCTCGAGCCCAGGGAAGACCCCAACCCTCAGACCCAGTCTGCCTTCTCCCCCTTCCCTGCACAGCCAAACTGGGGAGGGGAGCCAGCAAGGACCAGGCTGCTTGGTGCAGGGAGATCCCTTCCCATCTTTTCTTGAGTCCGCCCTCTCCTTGCTGACTGCTTGAACACATTTCTCTCCTTTCCCCACCTCATCTCTGCCTCCTCGCTTTACACCATTAGGAGGGTCCAGTAAGATACTGCCATAAACTGGTCCTTAAACTGCAAGTGCAATAAATATGAACCAGAATAGACCTCGCTGATTGGGAAGCACCCTGCAGTGGCTGCAGGGATTGTCCCCTGGACAGCAGGAGACCAGCCTGCACTCACAAGAGACTCGAGCTTAAATTTCAGCAGATCTGCTAAGCCGGAGAGCTGGAGGATGCTGCTGTTGGGAGAAAGCTCAGACACAGCCTGGTCTGGTATCAAGGCAAGCAGCTGGGGATAAAAAGAAGGCAGGAGCTGAAGAAACTTGTCTACGCGGATGATGTGGCAGCCTGACCTGTGGGTGCAGGAGCTGTAAAGCTGGTGCTAAGTCCCATTTGCCCAGCCCCGTGCTGATGACCTG